GTCACTCCACAAGACCAAAACAAATCTACTTTCTTTAAATAAATAGTATACTCTAGTCTACTGTCCATCCTTCCTGGGACCTCCCTTTCTCAACCTTCCTCACCTCAAGTTTAAAGATAGATTTGGATGCTGAAAGACTGCAAAACTCTCCATTCACCTGTGTAGTTAAAAAATGTGCACTGATCTGTAAATACTAAATGGAAAATTCCAGAAATAAGCAATTCACAAATTTTAAATTTTAAAAAATGTTTACTGAAGAGATTGAGAGTGACAGATAGATTCTACTTTGGTTCAATTCATATTTCAGGTTAAGAATTATTTGGAAATTTAATTCACCTCACAATGTTTTTGGGTGGTACTGGAGTTTGAACTCAGGGCTTGAGGCTTGCTAGGAAGCTACTCTACCACTTGAGACACTATGCTAGCCTTTTTTTGTGTTGGGTGTTGGCAATAATGGCACCGATAGATTTCAGTTCTTACTGCACCCTTAAGCTTCTGTTTCCCAGGGTCACAGTCCTGCCTCAAGTCTAGCTTGAATTCTCCTTCTGCCCCAACCTCCAATCAGCATGAACCATAAGATCCTAACCAATCAGATCATGCTGAGTCTCACTGAGGGGTATTTAAGCCCCTGCCCGTGTGTGTGTGTGTGTGTGTGTGTGTGTGTGTGTGTGTGTGTGTGTGTCTCTCTCTCTCCCTCTCTCTCTCTCTCTCTCTCTCTCTCTCTCTCTCTCTCTCTCTCTCTCTTCTCTCTCGGCTCTCTCCCTCTCCCTCTCCCACCTGGCAATAAAGAATCTCTTGGCCAGATCACTCCTCTCCGCGTGGTCACTTTGGGGCCTACATTTGCCTACGTTAGGTACTTTTGAGATAGAATCTCTTGACCTGTTTGCCCTGGCTAGCCTCAAATTGCAATCTTCCTGGTCTCTGCCTCTCAGGTAGCTAGGATTACAGGCATGAGCCACTGGCACCTGGCTATCAGCTCATAATTTGATCAAGTTTTAGTTGAAAAGTACTACAAACAGCACTGAGCACAGGGAGAGAAACACACCCTCCTTCTGTCTTCCTGGCTGAGAAGTGAGCAGTGGGCAGAGGGGCTTGGGATTTTGTGGAATAGGAGTGCAGAGTTGCTAGACTATGCTGTCTATCACCTTGGATCTGGATGGTGCTCAGAGACAGCTCAGCTCAATGCACTGTGAGCAAAAATGTTTCATAAACTATTAAAGAATATGAAAAAACAAGGCCATGATTTGTGATTAATTCAGCCATACAGTGTGAGTATAGAAGTCTGTGGAGCTTCTCAAACATAAAGACTTACTGTGAAGTCCAGGCTGGGCCTAATAAAGAATTGAAAGCAAAATGCTTTAACCTTGGTAGGAAATCTAAGTCCAAAACCCAGCTCAGGGCAAAGGCAGGGGAATTCAGAGTTAAGTAGGGAAAGGAAAAGTAAGCCAGGTAAAGGAAAATAGAACTGAGAAGAAGTAGCACTGTGCTCAATTCCCTGCTCTGGGTGAAGAGGCAAGAACTAACAATGCAAATAGAAGTTCATTTCTAGGACTCCAGTTACAGATGGATGATAGGGCCTCTACTCTTGAGCAAGTCCCCAGTATTTCTCTCCCTGCTCAATCTTTCCACCATCTTCCTACTTGTACCCTGCGTAAGCTTCCCAGAATTGAAACCCAGTACTACTCTTACTCCTTTATTTACTCCCATGGCCCCCAATCCAGTGCCCAAGTCTCTGGCAACGTTGTGTAGACCTCTTGGGATCGGTCCTGGGGATTTGGTTCCCGAAATGTATTACAGCAAAGTTCAGCACTGTTTTTTCCAGGTCAGCTCTGGTGGTGCAGATATGCAGAAAAGGTACAGAAAGGCCCACCCTGAAATGCCTAGGGCATGGTGTCAGATATGGACACCAGGTGAAGGAGGTAAGAGACTCTCTGACAGAAAGAGAAGCAGCTATGACCTCAATGAGTTTGATGTGTTCTGAGGAAAGTGGACCAGTGCTGTAACTTTCCACACCATTATTTCTTTTGATCTCTCCTCCCCTAGCACACTGAGGGGAGCAGCTTCCAAATTGCAGTCATCTGCTAGCCACTAATATTTACTTTTCCCAAGAACTGTGCTAAATGTTTCACAGGAAGTATTTACAGTTGTAACAACTCCATGCAGAAGGTACTGTCACTATCCCCATTGCACAGATGGTGAAACTAAGGTATGGAGAGATGAAATTGCTTTTCCAAATCTAGGGATGGAATATTTTATAAATTGTTATTAAGATATATTCATTATACAGGGGAGGACTCATAGTGACAATTATGATTAGACTTATATTACACATTATTTACATTGCCCCCCTCAACCCCCTCCCCATCCCACTTAAAGCAATTGCAAGATGCAAGATGTTTCTTACTTCTATTTCATAAAGATATATGAAGTCCAGCTACCATATACAATAACCTTAATCTCCTTCCACACTCACAAACTATACCTATTTTACAGTCCTGTCTTTCATCATTAATATTTAAGTTGATGTTCAAAGGGGTTTCTCAATGTATGTAGGGCTAGAACTTGAAGCCATGCTCTCTGGCTCTAGAGTCATTTCCCTAACGACTTAGCTATACTACGTCTGAGGCTGAGGCTGAGAAGATGCACATGTAAACTTTCTCTCAGGATAGATGACTGAATTCTATCCAATGAGATATGAACATAAGTGATGGATATTACTGCCAGATATAGCCCCTAGGATATATAGTATATCCCTCCAGGCTATCTCTTTACTTATCAAAGAAGTACACGCAGAACACTTGCTTGAGAGTTCACTAAGTCCAGGGGGATGGTGGAATCATGGGATAGAAGGATCCCTTATTCTTGGAGGAGAGCTACATAGGAACATGTAGTCTACCCAGGAACATCCACACAGAGTTTAAGTAACTGAGAAGTGAACTTTTATTGTATGATTTTTTTATTAAGATCTATTTGTTATGTCAGCATACACTAGTCTGCTATTTTTAAAAATTTAATAGTAACTTTACAGTCGAGAATCTTGGAGGATCTCACCTTAACCAACTAGTCAAGTACAACATCACCAGTAATGTGACATATTGACATCATGTACCTTCTGATAAGATGCACTGAGAAGGGTATGTCATTGTTGTGGGTGATCTTGTCTCGAGATAATTTCACATAAACTCAAACTGAGAGACATTCTACTAAATAACTTTCCAATAATCTTAATTATCAAGGTCTTGAAAGATAGATTCCAGAACTATCACAGATTGGAAAAGACTGAAGAAACATGGGAATTAATTGCAAATAACTGGATCTTGTACCAGGAAAACTTGATGGAATGCAAATAAACCTGTTCATTAACTACATTGTTTCAATGCTCATTTCCTGATTTTAGTTACTATACTCTGGTGACATAAGATTTTAACATGGGGAGGGGTGAGGATAGGTAAGACACCTAAAAAATTAGCTAGCATTTGTTGCCCTTCACGCAGAGAAACTAAAGCAGATACCTTAAAAGCAACTGAGGCCAATAGGAAAAGGGGACCAGGAACTAGACAAAAGGTTAGATCAAAAAGAATTAACCTAGAAGGTAACACCCACGCACAGGAAATCAATGTGAGTCAATGCCCTGTATAGCTACCCTTATCTCAACTAGCAAAAACCCTTGTTCCTTCCTATTATTGCTTATACTCTCTCTTCAACAAAATTAGAGATAAGGGCAAAATAGTTTCTGCTGGGTATTGAGGGGGTGGGGGAGAGGGAGGGGGCGGAGTGGGTGGTAAGGAGGGGGTGGGGGCAGGGGGGAGAAATGACCCAAGCCTATATGCACATATGAATAATAAAAGAAAAAAAAAGACTTTAACATGAGAAGATGCTGAGTGAGGGGGGATAGTGGAACTCTACTATTTTTCTAACTTTTCAGTAAGATTAAATTATTTCAAATAAAAAGGTAAAATAAATAAGAATGAATATATAAGAGTGGATGAGTTACCACCAGATGGCTTCTATGGTAGGTTTACGCTTGACACATAGTTGGTAATTCTGGATGAGAAAGGATCACATTCGTTTACACTGTTAATTTTTTTTATTACAGAAAACCCCATTCATCCAAGTCCAACTCAATACCCACTTTATTTACTAAACTTGAACCAATGTGTATTTTGGTCTGAAAAGTATTCTTACTCCCTGGTCATTTAATAAAGAGTGGATGATTTTGCACTTGCTTATAAGTTTTCTGTGGGAAGGGACTGGGGCTGTGGAGTCACATTTCATTATGAATAATACTGCATGAAATTTCCTTGGTCCAGGCATTGAGCCCAGCTTGTTGCCTGAAGGCTTGATCATATTGCTGCCTGGGGAGGTTAGCCACTAGGGCCATTTTGGTCTGAGCAGTTCTTTACACACACACTCTTCGGGACCCCACTGGTGAGAAGACCCTAAGATGACAGTCTTGTTTCCTTCACTCATGTGGAACTCTGATAACAATCAAAACCACATATCGGCCAAGATTGAAAGGTTGTAGTATCTTCTATGGCAGCATCAGTGTCAACCAAGAGCCTTATTGGACTCAGGTAGGGTACTCCCTGTATGTGAATATGCAGACAATAGCATATGGAACCCTAGAGGTAAAGGGCTGCAAGTACAAGATGCCAGCAAAGTCAAAGGTCAGCTTCTCAGAAGCAAGATGAACAAGCAACAAGGATGTCCTCTGAGCCCTGAAACACACATACATGTTTCCAAAGCAATGACTCCACTTTCATCCCAGAGATGGGAGATGTTAGACAGTGGTTCAAACCAAACCTAGCCCAGAATGTATCAGGACAGATTTGATCAGTAAGTAAACCAACACTTTAAAAAAAGAAGATCCAATGTGGTTGTTGACATTACCTAAAGGTCCAATGATTTCCAACCCACTGAGCAGTTATACCAGAAGGGATGAGGACAAAAGGGACAGTGGCAACTCCACAGGCACTGAGCAGGACAGACGCCCAAGGATCTTAGAGCAGCAGTCCCAGCAGAAGGAGGCTGGCAACAGGCAAGGAAGCAAGGGAGGCTTTGAAGCCTGTGCTGGAGCTGGTGGTTGGTTTGGAGGTGACACCTGTGTTGGAGTTGGTGGTTGGTATGGAGAAGTCTGTGCTATTATCAGTACTTGGTATGGAAGTGGAAATTAACAAGGCATCTCTACATTCAACCTGCTAGAAGATGACCTCTCCAACTGTCTGATTTTTAGCAGCCAGGAACTGACAGGTGTCATTACTGATGTTGGAACAGCCTTTCAGCACAAGAGTGTTAGACTCAGAATCTGTGAATGAAAAGGAGACAGTAAGGACATCATACAACCCTTCACCCTTCCACCCCTGTCCCAGCCTGTTACTGATTCTCATTTGCAGCTTGACAGCTAAACAACTTTCAAGAGCTGGTCTGTCAAGGGCAAACACAACAATGGGATTGGACTTTGAGCACATGATAAAAGCGAGAGCACACAAGGGAGGGGTGAGGATAGGTAAGATACCTAAAAAACTAGCTAGCATTTGTTGCCCTCAAAGCAGAGAAACTAAAGCAGATACCTTAAAGCAACTGAGGCCAATAGGAAAAGGGGAACAGGTACTAGAGAAAAGGTTAGATCAAAAAGAATTAACCTAGAAGGTAACACCCACGCACAGGAAATCAATGTGAGTCAATGCCCTGTATAGCTACCCTTATCTCAACCAGCAAAAACAGTTGTTCCTTCCTATTATTGCTTATACTCTCTCTACAACAAAATTAGAAATAAGGGCAAAATAGTTTCTGCTGGGTATTGAGGGGGTTGGGGGGAGAGGGAGAGGGCAGAGTGGTGGTAAGGAGGGGGTGGGGGCAGGGGGAGAAATGACCCAACCCTTGTATGCATATATGAATAATAAAAGAAAAAAAATAGCTGGTCTGTTCCTGAAACCCATGCAGGAAGGAGTTCAGAGTTAAGAACAACAAACAGTAATAGAAGAATGACCACCAAGGTCAGGAGCCAGATCCCTGCCTCTACCTAACCCCGTAGGAAACAGAGGCTGTGAGGGGTGGATTGCAAGCCCAGGCTTAAAAGTGAGGATCAGGTCTGGATCTTGTACTAGCACCTCCTGTGCTCTTACATAGTTGGCACATGAAAAAGCCAGTGACAGGATCAGAAGGCAGCCCTATGCACTCATTCAGGAAAGAAATTAACATCCTGTGTTCCCTATCCCCTTCCACTGTTTGATTTCAGATCCCACTCCTTTAGATGACTTTTCCCTGCTTCAGTTGTTCTTGAAAAAAGAGAAAAGCATGCAGAAGGAATTTAGGGAGAGCCTGATATCTCTACCTTAAATTAGAGTTCTGTTGTATTTAATCACGTTTTGAAACTGAGATCCTAAAAATCTGGCCCAAGGCATTTGCAAAGAAGATGTGGCTATAGTTTTGATTGAGCAGGTACTATCTACCTCTATTGTTCTGTCAGCTGCAACTCAAACAGCCCCAGGAGACAGGCAGCTCTAAGAGGACAGAAGGCCTCAAGAAAGTGAAGTGACTCCACTCAAAATTTATTAGAAGTGGGGCTACAATTTGAGTTTGAAGCTTACTCTTAACCTGCTCTGAAAAGGAGTGAGAAAAACCCTCTAAATTCCAGTGGAAAACCCAATTCACTGCTGTTTCAGAGCAAGTATCAGCACCAGGGGTTAGGAAGATACATTGATTAGCACATCTCTAGTGTAGTTTTCAAAGTGATCTTGAACAAAAACTAACAAGATTTATCAAAGACACATTTGTGGTAGCTTTGATCTATCAGGCTTTCAGCCTCAGTCAAGCTCTATGGAAAAAATATACATCCTTTACTCCAGAAGACACTGGTAACAAAATGAGTAGAGCAAGTCCTTCCAATGTCATTGTTGTCCTTGAATACAACTTTAGAGTTTAAAACCCATAGCAGTTTAGACATTCCAGAGATTTTAAAAGTGAAAAAGAGCCTTTGCTGCTTTGCTGGCATGTAGCTCAGTGATAGAATGTGTGCTTAGCATTTGCTGAGCCCAGGGTTAAATCACTAGTGAAGAGAGAGAGAGAGAGAGAGTTAAATTTACATGGATATTTCTAAGAAAAAGAAGCCATTGTAAAAAAGCTACATACTGAATAATTCCAACTATAGGACAGTCTGAAAACAGAAAACAATACAGACAGTAAAAAAATCAGTGTTTTCAAGTCTTTGTGGAGAAGGAGAGAGGATGAATAGGTAGAGCATAAAGGACTTATAAGGTTGTACAAATACTCTATACGATACTATAATCGTGTATACATGTAATTATACACTTGTCCCAACTCACAGAATGTACAATATTAAAGGTGAACCCTAATGTAAACTATGAGCTTTGGGTAATAATGATGTGTCAATGCAATCTCATCAAGTATACCACCTGGTGGCTGGCTGACACTGGGGGAGCCTGTATATGTGAGGGGCAGGAGAGGTAGAAGGGAAATTTCTGTGACTTCTATTCAATTTTACTATGAATTTAAACTTCTCTAAATCATAAGTTGTATTTTTAAAAAGATATTAAAAATTCAGGATAAGTTTGGGGCTTGGCCCCAAAGAAAACTCCATGATTACAAGTAAACTTTGAAATTGACAACAAAAGTTGAAATCGAATTGTAGTTGGATGTTGGTTCCCTTAAACTTATTGTTCTGAGTCCTATTTTGTCAGAGACTGGCTGGATGTTAATTTTTGGTTTGCTTTCTTCTCTTTCTTCTGGGTCACTTTTAAACCACATTCCTCTGGGTCATTCACTTCCAGATCTGAAAACTTCCAGCCTTCCTCCACTACACTACCTCTTTTTTTCTCCACGCTGGTAATATGCAGAGGATGCAGCAGAGATTTATTAAGTCTTGGGGAAATTGATCAAGTCCTAAGTGAATAAGTATCAAAGCTACAAGATGGGAGTGGCCCACACCCTGAACTCTGCCGTGAAGTGCTCCATAGGAAAGAAATAAATGTCTGTCGCATGGAGCCATAGAATTTGGAGGTTGCACCAGTGTAATTGTTAGTATCAAGTGCTTTTTGTAAAAAAAAAAAAAGTCAATTGGTTGGTTTCAAGGCCAAAGTTGACTGTTTCTGGGAGATGACCCCAGCAGTGACAAGCTAGACAGATAGAGATAAAAAGTATAAGTATAAAAGGAAATAAAAGTCACACCCATCCACAGCTACAAAATGATAGCGATCTAGTAAATAAGTAAATACTAGGAATGTAATGACTCAATTAAGTAAGCATGACTTAATTATAAACCACAGAGAATAGGGTTCAAGAGAAGCACAGTCAGAAGAAAGAGCTCTAGACTAAAAAGGCAGAAACTGCCACCAGATTAGATCTTCATTAAGAGTCTCTATCTTAAAGGCGTCCTGACCCTCAACCCCTGTGTTAACCTAGAACTTATGACTCACCCCATAAAGGGAGTGGGATGCAAGACGTACTACTTTTAAATTCTGCAATTAGATAGATGCACCGTACTTCTTCATAGCACTTCTGTGGCTTCTCACCACAAGATGATATGTTAGGTCCATAACAAGCAGGGCACTCTGTGCTTCTGAGCACATCTTCCAGTGGAGGATCTGGGTAGAATAAGAATAATTTCTCAGATGGTGTTATCATACAAGACTGGCACTGTCTTAGAAGAAAGGGGTCAAAAAAGCTTCCAGGAAGATACTAAGAATGAAGCAATTATATCTTTGGGAATCTCAGATTCAGCCTTAAAGACATCATTCCTCATGAAAATATTTACTACAACAACCCTACAGATCTGCTCTTACAGACTGTACAGTCTTCAAGAACAACAGTCCATACATGCACTGGGATATAGACTAAGAGAAATGTAAGATTTCTAGGAAAGCCAGCTTACAGCCAATGTCAGCATTAGCCATCTAATGTCTACATGTCAAACTATTTCTCGTAAACACAGGCCACTGCTTAATATTGTGACTAGGAAGGAAAGAAATTATATTGAGAATCAACTCTGCCCTTAATTTTCTTTGCTTTATGACCATGGCCAATGATTTTTGCCTTTTTGGCCATATTTTCTCTTCTTTTAAAAGGTAGCCTTGGCCTATATTAGCAGTTCTCAAATTGTGTTCTAGGTACCCCTGTGTCTCTGAGACCTTTTGAGTTCAAAGGTTTTCCCTTTTTAGACAATACCAAGGTATCATTTGCCTCTTGTACTCCTTTTTCCTCATGAGCACACAGTGGCATCTTTTAGAAGCTACATGATATGTGTGAGATTTCATCAGATTGAATACACAAACAAATATGAGATTCCAACTTTCTTCTTCTAAGCTAGAAACTAAAGCGCTTTGAAATATCTCATATATATATATGTATTTAAATATATATATATACATATTTTAAAAAACCACTCTTCTCAGTAAGTGTTTTTGTTTTGAAAAACATACTTATTTTTATGCACAACTGTTATTACTATAATGTGTAGTTGTTAATTTTTAGTAAACTAACTAACATTTGTGAATTTCTTTGCTTTAAATTAGGACAGTAAATAGTGGTAGAGTCCACATAAACAAAAGTTCTTTGAAATCCTCAATAATTTTTAAAAGAGTCTTAACAGGGGCCCTGAGATCACAAAGTTTAAGAATGACTAATGAGCATCTTCTGCCTTTTCCACATCAATTGCAGTGCTTATAATACCTGTCTTTACTGAGAAAAGTGAAAGGATGGTATTAATGCTGGTTTCTCTCATTTGGTTCTCACATAATTGTTGTTAAGTTAGATGTTAATGTTATTCAGACAGTCATTGAAGTGCCTAGACATGAGATGTCACCCAAGGGGAAGGAGCACAGGTGGCAAAAGAAGGGCCACAACTTAGAGTTCATAGTACAGGTGGCCCCAGGGCCAGCACACACCCAGTGCTTCGCTGGTGTTATTGCAGTTCTTTCCTTGGCAGCACTGGCTTGCAAAGTGGAATTGTTCTCCATCAGACACATGGACAGTGAAGGCCACCAAGTCCATCTCCTGAGAACAATTTTCTGCTGAGCAGGACATATTCTGGTACAACACGGTGACTCCTCCTACATAAAAGCAAACACAGACTGTCAGCCCCCAGCAAGGAAAGCAAAGAAAGGCTCCAGAGGGGGTTACCTCAGCTCAGGGCTGTTTCAGAGACACTGGAAAAAGTTTTCTACAAATGAAAAAAAATCCTTCCCACCTTTAGTAGATTATCAGAGATGCAGGTTAAACTCTAGATAAAAGGCCAATGGGAAGCCAGAAAGTGGGTGATTCAGGCTGACACCTCCTATACTTGGCAACCAACCTTGACGTTTCTAAATATAATAAAGTAAACTTTATGGGCCTTATGTGCAACACATTTACAAACTACCTACGTGTTCCTTCTTAGAAACTGAACATGAATCCAGTCAAGCTCCATACCACAACTATGTAGTATGGTACCCACTAGCTATATGTTGCAATTTAAATTTAAATCTATATTAATTTAAATTAGCCAGGGATGGTGGTACATAGCTGTAATACCACCATGCAGGAGGCTGGGCAGGGGATCACAATTCAAAGGCCAAGCCTGAAGTAACTTAATGAGATCTCAATCTCAAAATAAAATTAAAAAAAGTGGTGGGGATGAAGCTCAGTGGTAGAGAAGTTGCCTGGCATGTGTGAGATCCTGAGATCAATCCCTAGTGCCACAAAAAAAATTTTAATTTAATTTAAATAAATTTTCTTAATAATACTAGCCATATTTCAAATGCTTGATAAGCACATGTGGATACCATACATGAAAGTATTCATACAGACATTTCCCTTGTTGCAAAAAGTATGACTGGGGGCAGCACTGGACTATTTGTAGGAAAAATACCAGGAACTGGAGGACTAACTAAATGACACCAATAACAAATGTCCTTATCACCAGAATGAATAGTGGACATTTAATGTGGAAATACCTATAGATGTATGTGCATTACTTTAAAAAAATATGGCAAAAATAGAAAAATGTTGATTATGCTGACACAGGACAGTGTTGAAATGGTTTATTGTACTTTTCTTCTTGCTTTGTGTAACAAAAAAAAAAACCTCTAAATGTTCTAGAGAGAAGTAACCATCATGAGTACAATCAAAGTGCCTGGTAGAATATCTTGAATGAAATAATGTTTGATCTAGAAGAGAAAGGGAAACCAGAAGAAGAGGAAAAGGAGGGGGGCTGGCAAAATGTAAGCGCAAAGCAAATTTGAAATTTAACTACCACGTTCTCAGATCATATTAGTTTCTTCAGATCCACTAATATGTATCCAGAATGAGGCTTCAAGCAAGGGTAGCAAATTTAAAAACACCACAAGGCTTATCACTTGTTTAGTTCTGACCTGTGTTATCATCTGACTCCTGCTCATCTTGGCCTTGAGTTGCCTCTCCAAGGACTCAGCTTCATGATCCCTCTCTTTCTAGCCCAGCCAGCTCCACCTCAGAAGTTTAACCTCTCTGGCCACTTCCTCAGCACTGCCCAGTGCAAGTCCAGAATAGGCAGAATACACAACCTGGCTCACCTAGAAGGAGCTGGTTGAGGAATACAGCTTTGGGTATATTATGGACACTAGACTCAGTATATTGACACAGGGGCTGTATATGAATCACACTGTGTACAGTTCAAGGATTCTGGGAGACAAAATATGCAGCATTAGTGAACATTCAGTACACATTTATAGAGCACACCTTGGCAAAGCACCATACCCATCTAAGGGAAAAGATATAGACAGGATGGCATCCCTGCTGTCTGGGAATCCCAAATTTGCTGCTGTGAGAGGGAGACACACCCATTAACTTCTCACCACTGTTCACCATTCCCCAGTGAGAAAATCCAACCTTGACCAACAACAAGGGCCCTTCTAAATGTAGTGCTCACAGATGGGTCTCATTGCTCTACTGACCACATGCTAACATGAAAGACCATGTGAGAGGTCTCCAGAAATATAAGGCAAGAAGATTGTGGTCAGATAGAAAAGGGTTCCTCATCTCAAAATGGAGCCATTCACTTCTCTCACCGACAGCTGCCACGGCAAGTGCTGCAATGACACCACCAACGACGATGCCTTTCATGATTTGGAGGTGACTTCTGCTTTTATGGGGCCACAGAACCTCAAGCCTGAAAGACACAGAAAGGCAGTTCCCAGAGGCTTGGAGCAATCCTGTCACTTCCAAGGCATTTAAAATAAATTACACTGCAACAAGCCCAGTACTCAGGGATCCTTTGTGAAAGAAAAAAATCAGAATCCTGCCACAAGGAGCACAGAGTATGATTATCTTCCACCCTGCCCTTACATAAGTCCAAATTCTCTTATCTCAAATGTCTGCAGAAGCATCTATATACAAATATAAAGCACAACCTGGGGCATTTCCTGTGGAGCCCTTTCAAGACACAAAATGAGCAGGTAAACTGATTCCCAATTCCACTGGGGGTGAAGTATATATATGTGTCAGTCAGATTTCTATTACTATTACAAAATACCTGGGATAATCAACTTATATGAGGAATATTATTTTGGCTAGCAGCCTATGGTCACTTGGCCCCATCACTTCAGGCCTGTGGTTGTACAATATATTATGCTGAAATATATGACAAAAAATTCTGTTCATGCAGCTAGGAAGTGAAAAGGAAACTACCATGGGCCAGTATGTCAATATCTCCTTCAAAGCATGTGGCCAATGAGCTAACATTATTAATCTCATCTCCTAAAGGTTCCACCCCCACTAATACTGCCACAGGCTGGCCACTAAGCCATAAATTTATCCAAATCATAACAGAGCCAAGAAAAAATAGTTGAGAGAGTCCATCTCTCCCTCTCCTCTCCCAGAACACAATGTCTACCCTCTAGCTGATATCTCTCTGCCTTCATATTTGTGCTTAGGGTTATGTTGTTGCCACTATTACTGAAATTATGCAAAACCTATTGAGCACTTACTCTGTTCCCATCCTTTTGCACGTATTATTTGTGCGATTTATCAATCTTAGCAGCAAGTTCCATTCTTAGCCCATAGAGGAAATCAAGCCCAGAAAGGTTAAATAACTCACTCAAAATTAAGGTTTCATTTCTGGAAGGTGTCAGTTGGGTATGGTCCAGGACCTAAACTACCACTCCACACAGCCATTCAATAGGGACAGCTCTCAACCCTGGACACAGTTAAACTGTAGAGCGAATCAGAAGCCCTTCTGCACTTCCAATTAGTGTGTCAACAATCTCTCTGCATCTTTCATTCTTGCCTTAAAACTGTCTGAATTAGATCTTTGAGGATCTCAAGTTTTTGTTATCTTCATGAGGATCCTAAATCAGCTCCTAGAATTTCAATTTGCTATGTATTAAAAAAACATCGAAAAATATCTGCTCTGCACAAGTCCTCCCTAATCATTATCTCATTTACCCTCTAAGTGTAGCCATTTGCCATACATGGCTATTTAAGTTATTTCATTGAATTTAGACAAAATGAAATACTTTCTCTCAGTACACTAACCACATTTCAAGTGGCCAACTGCTGTATTGACCAGTGCAGGTACAGAAAATTTCTATCCTTGTCCTACTGGATAATGCTACTATAATAAAGATTGTTGCCTCCATTCCACAGATAAGGAAACTGCAACATCAAGGAACAATGAAAGCAGCTCAAACTCACCCAGCTTGTAAGGCCAAAGCTAGAACTCCATTCTGGATTTTTCCAGCTCCAAACCCTAGTCACACCATGATAGCTGCCATTTACTAAGGTAGACTTAACCTTCCCTTTGTAGCTGCAGCCCTCCGCCAACTTACCCCACTCATGTACCCCACAGGGTACATTGCACACACCACAGATCATACAGTATGCATACAAACCATTCACACTACACTTCATATATGCCATTCACACTCATACATACCACATGCCACTCACACCACACTCATCATATACACACTACACACTACACGCACCATCATACTGTGATCCTCTGGTGAAAAAGGAAACTAGCCCAATCAGGAGATAAGGAGCCTACATATTTCCCAATCACCCTGCTATTTAGATATCCAGAGAAAACTAAAGTATGTCTTGGTTGGAGGCATGTGACCACAAGTGTGTGCTGATCCTGTATCCTTACATGCCTGGAACCCCTCCAGACCTGGAACACCATTTATTTCCCTGTCTTCAAAGGAAGGAGAGCATTCCAGGAGCCAGCCCTCCTGGAGAAGTGCTGTTTAGACATTGTTAATGTGAAGGAGGATGAGAAGGGAGAGAAAATTGAGGTAAAAAGTTACAGAGGTTAAGACAGTCACATTAAGTCACAGATAGCCCGCCATGTAAACTTGAGATCAGCGTCATTTTCAGAGGGAAATAACAGAGGTCCATAGAGGATAAGAACCCAACTCTGGGGCACACAGCAGAAAACGTCAGAGCCTGAGGTGACCATGTAGTGGACACAGGGCCTGCCAGTCACTTCTAAACCGGAGGGAATAGCAAGCTGGAGGTCAAGTAGGGCCATGCAGGGTAGCATCTATACACTCCCTTGAAAATTTCTTCCCATTTGCAAATTTCTATCATTAAATTTTCAGCAGTCTGTCAGGGTTCTACACAATTGGTCTTATCTTACAGGAAAGCCAAAGCTCAGAAAGGCCAAAGCTCTAAAATACAGTACCACACAGAACAACAGACAGCAGAATAAGTGAACCATGTCCTCATCCTACATCCTTCCTCTACTCCAGTTTCCTTCTCTTGAGGATGCCATAGCAGAGGCAATGTTGGAGAAGGAGAGCCATGGAACATCCTGGTCCCCATTCAGGACAGGACTGAGTTGATCTTGAATGCCTTCCCTCTGGTTTCAGCTTCTCCCAGGATTTAGGCCCCAACCACAGAACCTTATTACCTTCTGCTTCTTGCCTGGACACTATCCTGAGGAAGTTGGATCCTGGCAGCATGTTGGAGCATTGTGAGAAGAGGACATATATATCAGGTGGTTTGGAATCAGAAAGCACAACTGCTTTCTGGAGAGGAGCCTCTATGTCAGATGGCCAAGGCTTCAGGTTGTTAAACTGTCCCTCCCAGCTATGCTATGCACACTCACACATACCATGTGCCACTCACAGACAGGGATACAGGCAGCTTAAACCTCTAGCACCTATGTAGTTAGTATCCTTGAGACTTCCAGGAATTGTAAGTAACTTCTGTCAAGGTCTGCCAATGACAAAATGTGCAAAGAGTAAAGAGTATTTTGTCATCTCTAGTATCTGCCATGTCCACTTCAAAGGCCTGTGAATAGCATTGCCTTATACCACCTTGATTAAACAGTTCCATTTGTAGTCCCTAAAATAGCCATATTCCAGATAGAAGAAAACATTAATAGATTTTTCCATAGGCATAAATATAGGTCTGAGTCAGCATTCACCAAAGGACTCTGACCACAAGAGGTCCATGCAGTTCAAAAAGAAGCTGAAGACCCCTGGGAAAATGTCTTAATCTCACTCAGTTTCAGGGTCTCCAGCTAAGATGAGGCTAACCCACTATATAGCCTTACAATGTGGTGAAGGGGCTATAAAGTAAAACCCCTAACCCCAGCATGCTGCCACCGCCTAATCAAGACAGCTTGCCTACTGTAATGTGGGTAGCCAACATCGGTAAGAGTCCCAAATCAGAGTCCAAATGAGGAGACTGAGGTTCCCTCCCAGTCTCCTCACATTTTGCCATGGTGCTCCACCACACACACACACACACACACACATGTGCATGCACGTGTACTCAAACACACAAAGTGAGGGGGAGCACTTCTGCTGAAGATGAAGTTGAGGATATTATATCACACCAATACCCACAGCTGCATTTAAATTTTGATATTCTTTGATCTTAAAAAATAAATATCCCTTAGCCATTTGCTATCCTAGTCTGTGGCTCAGTTCTCTTTCCTTTTCTTAAGCTCATGCATTCAACAAACATTTCTGAGTGCCCTACATATGTTAAGCTTGCTCTAGCATTTGGGAGATATCTGTGAGCCAAGACACAAAAAATTTTCCTCTTCTGGAATGTAGTCTTGAGGGAGAGACATAAGATAAATATAATATGATAATATAAGCAAATATAAAGGTAAGAATGTTGTGATTTTTCTGATAAAAGCTAAGTATCAGGTAATGCATCAACAGTGCTGGGGAACACAGGATTCAATTTTAAATAGATCACGATGTTGCCTGGAGATGCAAAATCTGTCACTTTTATAAGCAGAGCTTCTGGCTATCTCTCTTTCTCTCCTCTCCTCACCAGCACCCACAGATTGCTTAACATAGCATTTTCCTAAACAAGGATGTCTCCTCTCTAACAGAATTACTTTATTTCCAGCATACTTGTCATTTCTTCGATCCAGCAACCTAACAGCCCAGTGTGGTGAAGTGGAACAGGGATGTGGTGTTGAAAGATCCCATGCATGTGACTTCCTCAAGCTACAGATGGAGGACCTAAAGTACCCACAATACCCCCTCAAATATAGGCTGAGGACAGACACAGAATCAGGCTAATCAATGTTAATTTTCTCAGAAGTCATAAGATGCCCAGGAAAAATGAGACAAGAGCAACTAGAAATGTCTGTTTAATCCAGACTTGTGCCTCCTATTACAAAATTACTTATTAACCTTGTTCACTTGCACAAGCTCCCTGTCTTTAAAATAGGAGCACCAGGCCCTAAAAATTTCTCTGGACTCTCACACCATTCTAACCATGTATTTGTCCCCTAGGGTCATCTGTCAGCAAAATGTTGTAGAGTTTCTCATTCTTGAGGAGTCATAGCATGTGTAGTCTCAATGCAGACACTGAATTAACAGCAACCTCTGAACTATGCGTAACAACAGTACTGGGTCCATTCTTTTGAGCCCTGATAGTGCACAAGTGGTATCACCTTAATAGATTGATATAATACTCTTTAATAGATGAAAAACTGGCCCAGAGAGTTCTTCCCTCTAGGTCTAAAGACACCTGAGATAACACTTTTGTATCCAACACAGCTCAGGGCACTGAGCCTCTACCAAAAGGCTTGAGAACATTGACTCCACTCAAGTCTTCCTGTCCAGGAGTCACCTTTCATCACTAGTATGAGG